TTCATTTAATTTATTTAATTTATTTAAATTATTTTATTCATTTTTATTATTTTATTCATTTATATTATTTTATATATTTTATCTATTTTCTTTATTTTATTTAATTTATTGTTATAAGTATGTATTTTTATTTAAATAGAAGTAGTTCGTCAATGTAAAAGGAAGAACAATCTTATCTTATAATAATCTTTTGATAAATAAATTATTTAGTACAGACACACTGATAGAGATAGTACTAGACTTTTATTTATTAAATAATTAATTGCATGCATTTCACCCAATTTATCTCATTTATCTTTATTTTTTTTATCTTGTACCTTTATATTTACTCTTCTATGTGAAGGAATCCTTCTGCTAAACTTTAATATTACAGATGATTTATCTGCAATCTAAAAGAACTGGTATAATAATATTATAAAACTTATATAAAGAATTTGCCTTATAGAATGATTAAACACTACTGTATTATAGTATCTGGACGTTTCGCCAAATCCGTTTCATCAAAACTCACTTCACTAAAGCTAATTCACTGAAAGGACTCTTCGCTGAATGACCACTTCACTGAATGGAATTTTTACAGAAAGACGTTTTCGTCAAAATACCATTTTGCCAAAAGGTCACTTCGCCGAAATGCTGTTTTGCTGAAATGATGTTTTGCCGAATCCTTTTTGCTGAACGGACACATCGTTGAATCCGTTTCACCAAAAGGACATTTCATCAAAAATGACTACTGCATAACATTTGTTTAACTTATCATTTTTAGGTTCTACATTATAAAGTAAGTTTTTTCTTAAAAATTTCGTTAGAAATAATAAAAAAAGTTTAATAAATCTGGCAAGTTGCTAACAACCAACAGCGAATTATTTTCATTTTTGACGAAATATCCTTTCGGTGAAATAAATTAAGAGAAGTGTCTATTCGGTAAAATGGATTCGGCAAAACGTCATTTCAGTGAAGCGTCCTCTTGGTGAAATGTTCATTCAGCGAAACTTCTTTTCAGTGAAAAGTCTATTCGGTGAAATGAACATTCAGCGAAGTAGCTGTTCTACAAAATGTCCTTTTGGTCAATTGGCTTCAGCAAAGGGGTTTCGATGAAATGGGTTTTGGCGAAATGTACTGTAACCCTGTATTATTGGATTTAATCTTAAACAAATCCAATCAAACATGAATTCAAATTATTTAATAAATGATTTTTAGTAAAATGAATCAATTTTAATTCAATAAAAAAACCTTTACTCTCAATTTTATTATATATTTAAAAATTCTAAAAACCTTTTTGTTTCTTATATTTAGATATCCTAATTTATACTTATTATTTATTTTATTCAAATAGTATTAGTAATATTTATATTTAGAGTAAAAGTGAAAGTGTATACATTATGATAGGCAGCTCAAATATCATAGAACTCATTTAATATAATAATTTATTTATTTATATAACTTTAAAATAATTATTCTTATCTTTTAACCTAAATGAAATTGCAAAACATAAAAGATAATCAAAATTTTATATAGTTTAACTTGATTTTTTATATAAAAAAACACAGATAAAGAAATACTTTTAAAAATTTTTTTAAGAATAATTAAAGAAATAGAACTAGATTTAATTCTTTATATAATATATAATGATTTAACAGCTAAATATTTTACTACTAATATCATGTTTAACAAAATTCATATTAAATATAATTAGCCTCAAATATACAAAAGTATCAGAAAATATATTTAGTTATATGATATATGCTAATAATAAAAAAAATCTAAAACAAAAAATAAATTATATCCTATTTCAGTTAACTCACTATTTTATAGAATTAAAATAGATTTTATTAAATTTTTACTAAGAATTAATTAAAGAAATAAATATATTATTATTGTTATTGATTATTTAATAAAATGGTTAGAAGATAAAGTAGTTAAAGATACTACTACTAAAATGTTGTTAAATTCTTATATGAGGATATCATTTGTTAATATAAATATTCAACTAAAATCTTATCAGAAAAAGTATCTTATTTAATAATTAGTTAGTTACAGAATTAATAAAACAATTTTATATTTATCATAATTTATCTACTTTTTATCATTCTAAAATAAATGGATTAGTGAAAAGATTTAATAAAACTTTATATAAATTATTAGCAAAATTGATAAAAGATCTACTTAATAACATCAATATATTTCTCATGTTTTATTTGCTTATTGTATAAGCAAACAAATAGCCACAAAAATTAAATATTTCTATTTAATCTATAAATAAAATGCAATATTATCTATTAATAATTTTAATAATTCTAATGATCTTTGTATCAATTAGAATTTCACTTTACAAGAAGGATTAATCATCTGATTAATAAATTAACTCTAGTATAACTAAATACAAAAGTATAAATACAACTTGCATAATAATAATAAAAAAAGTATTATTATAAAAATACAAGGATTTTTATACTTAATAAATGTCACCTGGGAATTTTCTCTTACACTATCCTTATCTTTATGAAAAATACCTTCCCAAATAAACCTCTATCTAATAACATAAATTTCTATATACTCATACTAATTTCTCTATCTATTAACATTAATGATGAGGGACGAAACCCTTAATAATAGTCAAAATTTAGATAAAACTATATTAAAATCATAATAAGGGATATGATGAAACCCTTTTGATATGACGAAAGCTGAAACTGTCAAAACTATATTAAAAACATAGAAAAGAATATGATGAAATTATTTTGAGAAGGTTTCGATAGGTATCTATAATCAACATATTAAACTTCTTTATAAATATTACTACAAACTCAAAAAATCTCTCATCAACAATTCTAATAACAATCCTTCTTCATTTTCTTTTACAAATATAAAACACACAAATTTAATGAAGATTACTAATCAATATCTTTTATTAACAGCCTCTATTGACAACTATTTTAACAACGACAGTATCCTTCTTTATATAACTGAATTAAAATATGATATTATAAAACCTATTTAAGCAAAATAGCGAATTATTTTTAGACAAGAAAATAATGACAAAATCCTACAATTTCTTAAACAAAGAAGTAATAACTTGAAAGATGCTTCTACTAAAATGATTGATTTCTGCTTAGAAAAAAATAGAAAAGCCATTATTATAGATTGACTTCTTATTAATAAAAATACACCAGACCAGTATTTGAAAATATCTTCTAAGGATATTAAAAGGCATATGGCTTATCACTTTCAATTAGTTGCTAGTTCAATCAATCAGAAAGTTACCATTAATGGTACTTCTAAATTTAATCCAATGAAATAAAAGGAAAATATTTTATAATTTAAGTGATGACATAGACGATTGCATTTATAGAGACCTTATGAATATTCCTTTATTAAACGAATGGTAGAATATTATTAAACACCTTCCTGATCACAAAGCTGCTAATTCTTTATAGATTTCTAACAAAATATTAAAAAAATTAGATTCTAAAATTAAAAACTTTCTTTATAACTTTGTGTATACTTGTCTCATTAGTTTTTATACTCTGATTCGATAAAATCTGGCATACATTTATCATATACTTAAACCCAAACCTTAGAATTATAATCTAGATAATACCTGCCCTATTACCCTTTTAGATACTATTAGAAAAGCATTTGTTAAACTTTTAAACTAGCATCTTCAGGATATTTTATCAAGCACAATATTATCAAAAGACTTAACTTTGTAGGATTATTCCATCATTCAACTCTTGAATCTCTTCATATTGTTAATAATATTCTAAAATTTTATCATTTTAATAAGAAATTATAAAGACAAATTAAGATCATAATCACTTTTATATGCTCTTTTAAGATATATCTAAAGCATATGATTGTATCAATATTTTTATGTTTAGAAAGGCTATAGAATAGTTACATATCCTGATCATATTTATTAACATTGTCACTAATCTTTTCTTAAATAGAAGAAATTCAGTCTTCACTACTTACGATAATACTGATCTCTACAATGTAACTATTAGAATAGATCAAGGTGAAGTAATTTCTTCTCTTCTATAGGTTATTTACTATGATCCTCTTCTCTCTAAAATTCAAAACTCAACTATGAATATAATATAACTGTCAAATAGAAATCTAACATTACAACAAATGACATAACTGAACTTTCAATCTCAATTCCTAATTTAGTTTATATAGATGATACAATATGGATCTCTAATAGTATTGAAAAATTGACCTTAATTTTTAATATAGTGCAATCCTTTTTTGACATTAATGTAATGAAAGTAAATCATTCAAAGTCTTTTGTTTTTACATCTAAATTGATAACTAATAATATTTCTATATATAGCAACTACCTCAACACTCATATGACCTTTCCTACTAAATTTCCTTCTGAGTCGATAAGATACCTAAGTATTTGGATATCTACTACATATAATAAGAATTTTATCAAATAACAATTAGTCAATAAAATAGCAGATTTTATTTTTAAAACTAAAATATAAACCTCTAACTGATAAACAACTAAAATATTTATATAATATAATATTTATTTCTCGTTTAAAATATAAAACAAAGTTAATTATCTTATCAAAAAACGAATGTAATATCTTGTTCTTAAAACTTAAACCTTTATAAAACACAAATTTCGTTTTCCCAAATTGACTCCAAATAGTGTCTTATCAAGTAGTCTCTTCTTTGAATTCAATGACCTATCAGACTTAATGATTCGGTTTAAGCTACAACACTTTGCTATCATGACAAATGGTAATTCTAAAAATTTGTTGCTTAGGCCAGACCAAGTAGATTATCTGTTTAACATCATCATATAAGGCTCATAATCCAGAAGGAGAGAGATTAATTAACAACAATAGCAACTTGAATATCACATGATATTCATTATAAATTTTTATTAAGTTTGACTGAACTTCTTGTTTATTTATTACTATTATTAATCTGTATTACTAAAACTTCTTTTTTTACCTTCAGTTTTCTTATTTGTTTTAATTTCAATTCTACAAAAAAAAATCCTTTCCTTTTTCTAAACACCAACAACAATATGGAAATACAAACTTATATTTAGATGTTTTATCAATAGGAAGATCAACAAAACCACCATCAACTCCACACCAATAACAGATTTGTGAATTATAATTACTTCGACGCAAAATAGAAGAATAATAAGCTAATTCAATAGGTATTTCGCAAGTAATCTTTTCACATACAAAAACTTTAGTGTAGAATTCATGATTCTCTTCAACTAATGAAGCACTATAGCTATAATTCATTTCTTCTTTTATAGAATATAACTCTTTTTTTTCATTAGTATTTAAAGCTTGATTACTAAATATATAGCGAAGTTTACCACATTGGAAGCATTCAATATAATCACACACTTTGATATTTACAAAAAGTCCATTTGGTGCTCGTTCTGCTAATTTCACAGCTTGCATTAATGTAAGACGGTGATCTTCAGTTGTTGCATTATAATACACTGTATGAAAATCAGCATAATGATCATTATTTTCTATAAAAATTGATAAATAATTTTTATATTAATAAAAATTTGTTTAAATTATAAA